TGACCTGCCTGCAGCTTTCTTTTATTTGGTCTAACTGTGGCAGCAGTTTCTTTAATTGACTGGATGTCTGCGGCTAATTTGTTCTACTTTTGTTTATCTTTGTGCACCACCCTCAATGTACAACACCCTCAGCATGCTCCTGAGATGATCTAAAATGCCCATACAGGTTGGAGCACCCACCAATAGTGCTTTTCCACTAGGACCATTTTCCTAAGAGAATTTCCCTTTTGAACTACTCCTGGGGTCATCTCTGGGCTTTCCACTTCTTGTTAGCCTTTGAGGTTGCAAACTCATCTGTTTAGCTGACTGTCTTGTCTAGCCACTGACTCCTCAGCTATGTACAGAAACTCCCAAGGTAGTTATTTTGCCATTCCAACTGTTCCACTTGAAATGGTTAAATTTTGGGGATTTCTTCTTTGTTTAGAAATGCTGAGTCAGTGGTTTACTTATAACAATTTATAACAATAAATTACTTCAAAGGGTGAGCAACATTCCACTCACTAGCAGGAGAGTATTTGCAGCATTTTGGCAAGCAGTAAACATAAACTTTTTTGCCAAAGTTTAAAATACATCAAGCCATCTCTGAATGAAGTGATTGGAAAAGAGCATGTGTTTTTAAACTCTGCATCAAGTTAATACTCTGTTTTAATCTTAAAGACTGTTTGAGGAGGAGAGTGTGTTTAAATTCCATGCAGGTTAAAATTCATATCCCATGTTTTAGGAGTTTTTGTATAGACTACATACTGGTAAGTCTTACAAGCAATAGGAGATTTAGAACACAAACCAAAAGAAAAGAGACTTGTGAAGCAAGGGAGTTTAGCTTTATGAAGGGACTTTTCAGACAGAAAAGATTAGCCTACAGAAAGGCAGAAACCTAAAATTAAGTACTTTGTTAATGTTAGTAAAAAAAAAGTCTGCTGGTGATTTGTGGTTAACTAACTGAGCACTGAGGCATGCAAACTCAGTAAAAAAGATGTGGTTATAAAACAGGTCTCTGTTGGCAGAGTTATTTCTGTTTTCACAAAGCTAATGGATAGCAGAGATAATTATTTGCTGCATAAAGTGCTGTCTAAGCTTCAACAAGTTTATCCTCACAGCTCCAAAAGTTAGCATGGAAATAGGCAGTTAATGACTGAACAACCCAATCTGCTGGAGTTCCTGTTTAGTGCTATGTCCCCTCACAGGCAAGACAGCAGAGGGATGTAGGACTGGCTTCAGAAACTCTTGATTCCCTACCTTGTGCTAAATCTCCGCTTCTAAAGAGGGTGAGAAAGGGACTGGCTGTATTAGCTTTTACCTTACTGGAAGGTGTGGGGGGTGGGGCTAGACAGCCAACTGTCTGAAATTAATCCTGTTGCCTTGTATTTCCATTTATTTCTCTGTGTGTTCTAGTTATTGCAGAAACTGAAAGCTTTCAGGCTTTACAGTTCAATGGTAACTGTATTAGCAGTGGTGCTGACATCACTTTGCTGACATTTAGCACTTACTTCGATAACTTCTTTTAGAGGCTGTGGAAAAAGTTAGCTTTAAATTTTTCCTCATGGCTTCTTTTTCTTATTACTTAACACATCCTCGTTCCTTTACTTACAGGAAGAGCGAGGCAGATCCGGCTAGATAGAGATTGTGATTTTGCTAAAGATTATAGATAGGTTTTTGTCATCTTATTTCTGACTACCTTTCTTCAAGCTATCCCAAGTCAGTTACCCATGAGCAGTAGACCAAACATGGTTCTTCTTGTCCTGAAGCTATGTGAATCCTACCATGCTCATGTCACAGCTACTTGAATGGCTTTATGGAGGCATTTTGCACATATGCAATTTATCCATAGGTTGTTTGAAGGCATGATTCAGGAGAACTCTAAACCAACACTTAGTTATGATGAAACCTTAATATAACAAGTCAATCAACAAACATTAGGGAAAAAGCTTGTAAAGACAGGAGAGGAAACCATGTTTCTCCCAGTTATTCAAGCAGGAAACACCAAAGTGAACTCTAAGCAATTGATCTAAGCTAGAATATGATGGAAATGCTATATATCAGCCCAAGATGTTTATAAGGCCAGATGTTTATATTTACATGGAAGAAGCTATATGATTTGCTGGAACATGGCCACTAATTAAGTTTTATTTCATAATTACATCTTTAAAATGACTTACTGGCATTTAGTTTTATGCTAGCTCCAAGATAATGAACTGAAGAGTCTTTTATGCATAAGAATTCTGGACAAAGAAACAAAAAAGCAAGAAGTACAATGTAACCTTAGAATTAGAAAGACTTTTTCATTACTTGTGGTTAATTATCTCCAGAACTGCCAGCTCTATGCCATTTGGACAAAGAAGTGGAAATTTGTTTCCTCTTCCATGAAACAAACACTGCATTTATGCCTCCTGAATATAGAAACAGGTTTTGCAACCCTAATTATAAACAATTCTTTATTCCAGTTCAGAATCTATAATCTCTTCTGTAACAAGAAGTAGCGTCACTAACAAATAGACTGATCCCATACTGAAAACTTCAACATTAGTGTTAGAGAAGGACACCATACACTTTGATTTTGGAAGGGCAGTCTGACACTGGTATCCTAGATTGAAAATGAAACCATGCTTTTTAGAAATACTCCTACTGTGCTTTAAGGTGATGCTCGAGTCACCAAGAAGGAAATAGTTTTTCAGAATAGGAGATTTGCTGCTAAAAGTCAGGAGAAGAAACTATCTGCTTTCTTCTTTCTGTTTTATTCTTCACAGGAATTATAATTATCACCTTAAACTAGACTGGCTCCTCTTCCATCACCAGGTATTTTTAGCTATTTACCACGGGAAGTGTTACAGGTCATAACAAACTTTGGGGTCTGTGACACCATGTATCAGGAGAGCTGGCTGGTAATTTTCTACTAACATTGTATTTCTGTGGAGAAAGCTTAATTTTCCTGATGTTTTCCTATATCCCAGCAGACCATTCCAAATCAAATGTCTCATTGTGGTTGGCTTTGAGGTATTAGCTACAAAATAAGCGCCTTCCTGGCAGCCAGGTTTTGGCTGAAGCCCAATATGAGAGGGGTGTAATAGGAAGGCCTGTTGGATCAAGCAGATCACAGGTGAGTTGAGTTTGGAAACAGCCCACCTGTGAATGCCAGCAGGGCTTAGCCATGGGATAAGTGCCCAGACCTGTCAAGACTGCACAGGACCTCTAAGCACAAAGGGAACATTTTTGTAAGAAATAACAGCATTTCCAAGAGCAGGCTTCAATGGAGAGGGTCTCTGGGGGCAACCTAGGCTGTGGTACTTGTCCTGTATGACTCCAACCCTGGGTGACTTGTCCCTGCTCCTACACAGTCAGAGCAGAAAGTGGTTTTACGGACATATAGCCAGTCTTTTGCCACAAAGCTATCTCCTGTTCATTTGTTTGTCCTAGAAATTAAAGAACTGCATTTGTGGCTGTACATAAAAACCATGGGAGACAGAAACCTTTGCTACTTCTTAAAGAAAGATTTGTGTTTTCCTTACAGTCAACCTAAATTTTGCTTCATCCCCTTCCACCCCTTGCAGCCTCCTCCAGCTCTGGCTGCCCTTTGCTTTCTGTAGGCTCCATCCCATCTCTGACTCTGCCTATAGCCGTGCAAGTTAAAGTCCCTACACTTTTCCTCACTAACTGGTTACTCTGTCCTTTGTGTATTGATATTTGCTAGTGTGGCCCTGCCGAGTACAAGCATACAACGTCCTGTGTAATGGCATTTAAAGGCTTCCCCACACCAGGCTTGCTACATCTGTGCCACCTTCTGGATGTTCAGTGAATCATGTTTATCCCGGAGCATGTCTGGCAGTTGCATGTTCTGACTAACGTGTAAATCTCTTCACCAAATGTTACCACTTCCTGAAATCAGTAAAGGGCAGATTAATGATATCGGGAGAGGGACAAGGGTTTAGGGCCAGGGTCACAGCTTCAGATGTGTTTCCTTTGTTTACTGTCTGTATACTAGGAAAAGTGATTGCTCTGCTGCTCGGTGAACTGTCACTTCCACGCTAAGAATAGTTACTGAATTTAGCAAAAAAATCCTTTTTAATGAAGAACCTAATTTCCCTAATTTAATAATTGCTTTTTTTATGCAGTGTACACCTGTTTAGAATTTTCTCAGGTTTGGGGTTTTTTTTTGTCTGCAATATGTTTAAGTTACAATTTCCTTTCCAGTATTTTCTCATCTTTTATGTCTGGGTTTCATGTCACTATTTCTTCAAGAACTATAGCTCACTTTCTTTCAACTGTTTTAGCTAGAACTGTATCTGAATAATGTACAATTTATGATTTCCCTAGATGATGAAAGCACATCCTCATTTTGGTCATTGTTCTGCTATTATTTATATATAAATTTAAATAAAATAATACTGTATCTTTCTTTGATGAAAACTAGCTAGAATTCTTCAGTAGTCTCTCTGGTATAAAGTCCAGAATTAGTGAGGACTTCAGTCAATAAACAACTTCTTTCTTGCATATTTAAATGTTAGCAACATGTTTAAATGACTTGCTAAATCACAGCCTGGATAGCAAACTCAGGGAGATAATTTCAGTTTCAGACAGGGAATGAATAATACTAATTACTTAAGGTTTCCACTTAATCTCCTCCAGAAATGCAAATAATTCATAGGAAAACCAGAGAAACAGGAGGCTATTTTGTTATTTTAAATGCTGTATTCAACTAGGCAGTTTTAGCCTGATCAATGAGGCTGTGGTGCTGTATAATTCCTTGATTTCGAAGTCAAACACTAAACAATTTGTTTTTAGAAATTAATACCATAATTGCCACAAGCTGAGACTTCTTAAGAAGTTGGCTACCTCAGATATTAAAAATAAACATCTAAAGAAATTAAGCTTTCATTGCCAGCAAGCAATTACAGTAACTTACTGTTGAATGGTACTTTCATAGACTGATATTTACAATCAGCTGGGAAAAAAAAATATTTTCACTCCATCATAGATTCAGATTATGGCCAGGAATTAAAGTGTTGAAATTCTTCAATAAGAACAGATTCCAGAAATGAGAACAATTCATACTCAAGCTCATATTCACCTGCAAAGACTCAGAATCCTGCATCCTACTTATTGTACTTCACGGATGAAGGTAAAGATGTGGACATAAAACACTCCTGGCCCAAGTCCTGGATCTCAAGTTCAAGGGTGGACAACTACAAGGTTCAGGACACCCAGAATGATCCTGCTGTTGCCAAGTTTGTTGGTATCTCAACCAAAATCCCAAACCTTCCCTTCACTTGTCAGGAGCCTAGACTGAAAAGTAGAATTCAGTAAATCATACAGCTAGTTTTCAAATTGTCATCCAGTCTTTATTTACAGAGAAGAGTACCATTGTTTACCATCTTTGAAGAGCAGACAGTTCCATGGACATTTCGGGAAAAGTTGAAGCACGGGGATGTATCACCATCCTAGCAATGCATAAGTGAGTACACCTAACAATCTCTCCTCAGAGTCCATACCAGCCTGAGATTCATTTTAGCTAAAATATCCAATAAACTGTATAAACTGGTGATCTTTGCTCTCCCCAGATTCTGTGCAGACAGGAAGCTCCAAGGGACAGTCAACTCTGCCTAATGTAGACATCTACCTCACTGGCAGTTTACCAGCCTAGTCTAGAAGCTTGAATGGTAGTTGGCAAAAGCAAGGTGGAATGGGACTTTTACCTTGTAAAAATTTCACCTTGAAATTTTAAAGCTTTGAAAAGATTAAATTGCAAAAATAGAAGAATAAATGTTGGTGCAAATCAAGGAAGTTATTACCCTTTCAAAGCAGTCTGGAGAACTCAAAAGAAGGCAAACAGAGAGAACTCCCATCTTCTCCCCTGTGAATTAGATTCACAAAACCAAGCTGACTGTACCCCCTTAAAGGAATGGGAATCCTCCTGCTGTGAATTATATAATGTCTCTACCTAAAGTGAAATAGTCCCAGTTAGCAATCCACCATTATGATTTCTGTTGTTCTAAGTGTAACTATAATCCATCTCTCTCCAAAATTAGTAATAAACTTCTGGAAGGAGGACTGTAAACATTCAATACTCAGCCACCTTCATTGTTCTGTAAAAAGACATCTTTAGTCTAATGACCTGGTCTAGCATGTTTATGGTGTTGCTCCCAAATCCACTTTGTGTTGCTAACAGATGATTATTTCTGTTTCTTTTTGCTGGTTATTCATTATTTCTCACTAGTTGATGTTAAGCCCACAGACGTTTGGATGAGAACTCTGGTAGATTTGCTTTAGGTTTCCAAGCAAGTGTTATAATCTCCTGAATACCCTTTTATTGTCAGTATACATGAAAAAAACCACCTGTGCAGCTAACTTATGCACGTTCTGCAGTAGAGATCCACGTTTTTAAGACCCATGCAGCAGGCATCAGTCTGGTCACATTTGACTAAACACAGAGAATCAAATGTCTTGCTTATGTTCCCACGTTAAGGGCTTGATCCTGCGAGGAGGCAGGCATACCTTCACATGCACTGCAGTCAAATAAAGTATGAGCTATGCTTAAGTAAAGGCTCAACCCAATTTAATCTTTCTCTTAGCTTAAAATGCCCAGAGCACTAGTGAACTATGGGAGAGAGAAAATGTGAAATATTTATGAATGAGAAGCATATATTCTTGTCATGGAAAGGTTTACATTTGTGTCTGAGTAACCAAAAAGATCAAAGTCACAATAAGCAACCACTCTTCTCTAAGAAACCCAGGCGCATGAAGGGGTTTCTTGCATTGGTGGGAAGGGAAGGTTTGGTTGTGGCGCAGGAAGACAGTTCCTGAATTAGGTTCATCATTGCTTTGTTCCTCAGGGAGCCCTTTCTATCGAGGCATATAGTTTGTCGGGTCCTGCCTGCTTTCTACAAAAATAGAGTGCATTAAGCAAATGTACAAGGCAGAAGCTGACCCAGCGGTAACTTCAAGCCATCCTGATTAGCAAATAAGTCTTTATCTTCATGTGTGAATCCAAATGCAAGGGCAGTTCTACACAGCGCAAGTTTAGTAAAAAATGACCAATATTTAGTAGAAAATGTAGAATTTAAAGTCAACAGTCATACTGCTCTTATTTCCAGAAGGTGAACATATGTATATGTAGAACACTTGCTATATGCACGCTGATAAATTCAAAGTGCCCAGGACCATTCTCTGGAACCAGAGGTAAAAGACAAGGAAAAGCCACATTTGTTTAACCTCAGCCTCTCTGCCAACTCAGCTATATGCAAACTATATATTGGGAACTGCCTCCGGGACATGCTAACTTCCAAAAGAGGACCAAGAGACCTCTGGGAAAGCCCTATCTAAGACTAAAACCATATTAGGGGCTGCTCAAAAAGTCATACTGAATAGGAGAAAAATTTACAGCATCTGAGAAGGTTTCATGGCACTTTTTAATTTACTGATAGAAATGTGGCCTCTATAGAAAGACATGCTTAGTGAACTAATAAAAAAATACACCCCACAAATTTAATGTTACAGAAGGGTTTACAACAAGAGAGAAATACATAGCAGGAGTGACACTTAAACTGGATTTGAAGGGATTGGTTTTGCCTCTTTTTAGCTTGAATATCTAGTGTAATTTCCTTTCAATGATTTTTTCTTCACATGAAAGATGAGCTTCTGAAGAGAAGTCTGTTGTAACTGGAAACAAATTTTACATGCTTCAGCATACTGAAATCCTTTGACTTTTCAGTATAGAGAAAGAGAAAAAGAGATATATTCCATGCAACTTAGCAGATTCCAGTATATGTCCCTCCAAGATTTGCACACCTGGCTAGCTGGCCATCCATGCTGTAAACATTGGGTTTAAAATGTCTGCCTCTCTTGGTTAACCCAGCAGAGGTGGAGTAATTAACTACCTGGATCTGCTGTTCTCCCAGATATATAGTTCCCAGCTTAAGTTTCCATTGGTTTACTGCGATTTGGAACAAGCCCTGCAACAACAACAAAAAAAGTCTGCTGTGTCTCCTATCAGGGCAGACTTCTATGCAGTCACAGAAAAAGAGTGGCATATTTTATGATGAAAACCTTGTAATGCAGCATGCATATATACATACAGAGGTGAGGTTTTATTAAGACCTTCAACTACTGGGTAAGATCCAGAGAAAATCCTGTTTAGCAGCTACGGCTAAGGCTACTAAGGAATTCTTGTGGGGACAGGCTTTTAAAGCACTGCTATTCCATTTCTGACATGGCAAAGTATGCCAGAAATGGCACAGTCTATGCAGAACAGGGAAACAAAAGCAGCACCTGGACCTCCCAATGTCCTTCTCTATAAGCTCTGATGGCTCAGTAGAAATAAGAGCAAGTCAGATGAATTAAGTACTCCTTTTATTTTTCTTTTTAAAAGCTAGCTACTGATTCATCTTTCTATAGCAAGCATAAAAGTTTGTGTAAACTTGTGGAGAGCTGAAAGATTCCCATTTTAATAAAAGTATTTTTTTTCCTTACCTTTTTAGTCAAAATATCTGGAAACTGAAGAACCCATTATTTCCATAAACACTCCCTCCTTCTGCATTGACTAGTAGCTGGGGGATGAGACTATTTCTTGCATCCATTCTTAAGAATTTATAATGGAAAAAACACATGCACACATAGACATACACATAATGTACATCTTTCATGCATAAACACACTCTGCAATGATCAGAGAAGATACAGAAGTACCAACAGGATGGTTTTCAAATCTCAGAACATTTATTTCTCACTGCAGCTTGAAGTGGTTCCCCCACAACACCAGTCCATGTAGATGCAGTTAAGTGACTTTGTACACAGTTATACAAAGCAGAGGCATGAAAAGTTGTTGTACCCCAAATGAGGGAGTATGCTGTTTCTTTCCACTTTGGATTACACCCATTCATTGTTTTCAAGACAGTGGCATTTGGCTCTGGTAGTAGTAACAGCATCATTAACAAATCTGAAGCAAGCAAAGCAAAACTTGCTGTTGTTTTCAATAAGGTTTCACATTCTCTCCCCCCTCTCCCTAGGAATTCTCTGCTAATCACAAATTGCTTTTCTATCTGATAAATAAAATCGATTTCCCTACTTGTTTATGTACATGAAACAGACTGATGATAAAAATCTTATGTGCACCACTCAGCTGCTTTTCTTGCTACTCCAGGGCTGGCAGGATCTGAATTGCTGTTGTAACCACTGACAGAGCTCTTGTCAGAGAGGAAAAGTTACTTATATCAAAGCAAAGTCTGTAAGGTAAGACAATCTACCCAGAATGCTTAGATAGCACTGTTCATCTCTACAAGAAAGCTTCAAAGTATGAGAGCAAGCTATGAGACTGAGAAAAAGAATTTGGTAGTTTTTGAAGTTTATATAAGCCACAGTAAAAGAAGACTTAGCTAATCAGCAATGAGGGTAGAAATGTATGGGCCACCAGTTGGTGAAGAGCATCAGTCTGTGTCAGCATCATGGAGTGCAGTGCAATAAAAGCAAAACAGCTGCTGCTGAAAACATACACATTCATGAAAATTTAAGCATCCATGTGCATCTTCTGGTTCAAAGCAGCCTGTTTTGACAGAGAATTTTACAGTGTCTTATGGGTGGTGTTATTATTACTATTACTTTGCTTTTAGGGTCTTTTCCTAAGGATTCAAAAGACTATCTCTTGACAGCTTTTCTACCTAGTTACTGACCCAGCTGGACATACTGGACAGAATCATACACATGACTTAGGCTTCAGAGCATTTTGGCTTTGCAGTAATTTTGAAGACTTTTCTGGTTTTCGTCAGCATCAGTTTAGGATTGACTGCTGTATTTTTTGAGTAGCAATAATAATAACAACCACAACAAAAATAATAATAATAACAATAATAATAATGAAAATTCCTCTTTTCTATTTATACTGTAATGTTTCCAGAAAGGAGAAAAAGAGGCAACATTCATTTCTTTTTTCTCATTATGTTTTTCTCCCTCTGTACACAAAGTGCTCATGATCATCTCTTAAATGACCTGAAAAACATCTTGGCAAGTTTATGGCCAGGCCAAGCACTGGTATGTTTTCAGCAGAGAAGGAAGAAGACCAAAGAAATAGCCACAGAAGGAATAAAGAAGAGCTGTGATATTGCAAAAACAAACAAAGCAGCTGAGAGAAACAGTCCCTGCTGTCCAGACAAAGAGTGAAGTGTAAATAATACCTCTCACACAGGAGGAGTCTGCTGCAGAGTGAACTGCAGCAGGCACTGAGCAAAACAAAGCTCTTACCTGAGAACTTGAAAAACTCCACAACACCTAGGCTCTGGGAAAACAACCAGCAGGTTGTTGACAGGGAGGTCAGCATCAGAAATCCCCTTTTCCACCCAGTCTGAATATCTCCCAACCATTTTGTTTTCAACTAGTGTTAACAGTGACTCGGTTGCTTGAATCAGTGGGATGGAAATAATTTTCACCACTTTTGCAGACTTGCCTATCAGAACAGTACTTAGTGCCCTTATTACTTTTCAGTCTCCCTCATACTAACAGTTAAACACTTCTTCTCTGCCAACTGTGAAGAAGCCAGTTGCTGACAACCCACGTCAGTCACACATCATTCTGTGGCGCAGCTGGTTTCTGGAATTTTGCTTGTACCATTGGTAACATAGGCTCAGCTATAGCAGATAGAGCAAACAGATCTTGGGCTGCAATTGCTGTCTTATGCAACAGGGCATCTTATTCATGCTCAACAGATATTAACAGCATCATATGAAACACCAGAACTCTTTGGAGCACAACCACAGGGGAAGCAGTTCACACACCTTACGAGCTATGGTTTTACCACAATGGAGAGGTTCTGGCGTGTACAGCAATGGATGACTTTTGCAAAATTTCATTAGTACAAATGCCACTCCAAGGAGCTGGGAAGCTCTTCCATCATCCAAATGTATTCAACTGCAGAGGTAGTTTTGATCAACCTGAGAACAGAAAGGCCAAATTTTACAAGTAACTTTACCATCCTAAAGACACAAAATGCTATTAAATTTTTTAGTTTCTGACTCTCACAGGTGAGTGGGCTTGGTATCAAGGCCCTCCCTACACAGCATAGGGAGGTACAGTCCTGCTGAAATGGACAGTTTCCAGTGTAATGGCCTCACAGAAGAAGTCGCATGGGGCCCCCAGCGCCACACAAGGATCTTGTAGATCTGTCTCTTGCATAAAACAACAGAGCCAGGCCAGTTTCTCTGAATCCAGGTGTTTCAGCAACTCAAGTCAGCACATTTAAGCTCTCGGTAGACAAAATGATCAGGCTTTGTTGGTAATAATAAGAGCTGCTCTAGCACTGCTTCGGGACCAAGCACTCGAGTAGCTATTTATAGATGTGAGAAAAGCAGCAATAGGGAAAAGGAGTGGGCAATATTTTTCATTTTTAAATTATACATCTGCAAAGTGATCTCAGGAGCTAGGAACTCACATTCTGTTCTCCTAACATGTGGTTTCATCAAGAAGTTTTAAGGACATGATAATCCCTTCATTCATAATTGTGCATTAAGACTAAAGACTAAATCTATACGTAATGCTCTGGATTTTCAAAGCCCTCAGTGACTCCTGGTGCAGTGACCCTTGCTATTGTCTTTTGCTATTGGGAGTGAACACTGGTCCTGTATAATGGTCAAGAAACACATGGAAATGATCCTGTCCTCAAGACCAACTCTCACATCTTGCATCTCCAGGCATTGGCAAGGTGCTCATGAGCACCCCAGAGCAAAACTGCGTTGCTCTAAACCAAAGTTGAAAAAGCAGCCTCCCAGAGATTGATCTGGTTAGGGGAATGGCAAGGGAAAACCTGAACTCCAAGGCACTTTGTCCAAGCTTTGGAGCCATCCAGTGGCACCTCCTATCTCATCTCACCACTCCCACATCTCTGCTGCCCACTGGGGTACTGCAGCATTTCCTCCCGCACCCTGACCAGTGCAGCACAATAAGGAGCTATATCCTCAGTACTTTCTGCGTTGGATGTGGATTAATTTGACCTTGCAGGCATCATGTCATCATCTCTTAACTTGCTTTGCTAAAAAAAAAAAAAAAAAGAAAAAAAAAAGAAAAAAAAGTGCCATACTGAGATACTGATGTAAAGCTAAAATCTGCCCATCATCCCCCTCACTTTAGGGTCAGAATATGGCTCCTTCACAGCCATCTTGATCATCTTCATACGTCAGTCCATTGGATGATACAGACATTCGCTGCCTATTACCTTTCCTGTGCAAATGGGCTACTTGGAAGTTCCTGTTGAACCTGTTTTCTTGTCATGAGCCTAGAGGGACAACGCAGGAGAGGGATGGAAAGAAGGACTTCCTTGTGTCTGCGGTTGGGCTTCCCCAGAATTTTCCACAGCAGGATTTCCCTCTCAGCCCCAGGTTTTAAGCACCCTGAGTGGAACCAGTTTCCAGTACAACTGTCAGCAGTTCAGGAATCAAGGAAAACACAAATCACTCCCTTTTTCCAGCTTATCAAAGGCTTTGGCACTTGGGGGACCTAGTCCGGTGTCGCGGTGTGTCCCCATCCCAGGGATGCGTGTGTCACTGAGGCTCAGCGGTCTCCATTCCGCGACGGCCGTGGAAGGGGGCCGGTGACGACCAGCACCCTCCTCCTGCGGAGATCCAGCAGTTGTTTCCACTAGATGGCATCTCCGTCCCGCAGACATCTCCGGCTCCCGGGGTGTTATCTAACCCTCCTGGACTTGCGCGGCTCGTAGAGCATCGTTATAGCATCTAACAACTAAAGACAGGCAAATATTTCATTGGCCAACATCAATTTCTGCTCCAGGATACCACAAAAAGAAAACAAAAAACACAAAATCAAAAGACTAGCAGCATTGGAGCATCTTCCCTGCAAACATCCCTTCCAAAACACTGTTACTGCTGTAAATGATCTCCCAGGGGCAGTGTTTGTTCTCACAGTATTTCAGCACATTTATTTCCAGTTGTACTTCCTGATTAGGGCAATCTTTTCAAGGCTAATAGCAATTTTCTTAAGATTTCTCATACTTACAGGTTAAACCATCAGGTCAAACAGTACCAAAACAAGGTATTGACTCCGAAAAATTCCATCTGCGAATCACATTATAACATGTGCAAGCTATATAGTTTGGATTGTGACTAACGTCATAAACAAAATAACAGCTGTAACAGACTTCTCCAAGTCTCCTGTGCTACAGCTTACTAGAAGCTTTGCTGTCTGAACCTTGAAATAAATGTCCAATCTGATGTGTCCGGAGCAACAAGAGTAGCTTCTCAAAACTGGGTCTGCAGCAGCTAATCTGTTTGCTTAGCACCAGGAGGGCTAAGGAGCCTTCCCTTACTTAACCAGGTTTATTAAAATACCTGCAGCTCAGCTGTGACTGATAGACAACACTATCCTAGAGCCAAAGGGATATGTTTTGGAGAACACTCTTAGGAACCAATGCACTGTGTGCCTGCCTCTCTCCTCTACCATAATATTTATGTGCTTTGGGTATCAGTGAAGTACAGCTCTACTAACAGAAAAGAAGATGGTCCAAAAAACTTGAAACAGATTCATTGAAATTACCTGTCAAGGTAGGATAACATATATAAAAACAACTCCCTAGTGCTGCCACACTGGACTACTCTTCAGTAGCAGTCCTTCTCAGGAGAGTGAAGGGGTTCTGATGTGAGAGAGACAGACAGATAGAAGATAGATACACACACAGACCTCATCTTATTAAATGGATTTTGGTGCTGTTCCTAAACTCCTCACCCTGATTCACTCCCTGGGCACTTCCTAAGTAGGAGAATAAAATGTCTGAACTTTTTTAAGGCAAATGCACCAGAAGAAACAGCAGGCATCAGCCCAATAGCTGGTGAAAGACAGCCAGATTTGTGCCTAGGGAACTCATCTGTTTCTGCAGCACTTTTCTGGAATCACTGCAGCTGCTCTAATTGGGAAAATGTGTCAGAGATGAGATTAGGTTGGTTTCCAGCAGAAGATAGCTCTTCCACTGGAAGGTGAATATGATGATAACAAGTCAATACATCATACCCATTGAAATTAACAGTATTTGAGTTAGACCAATTGTCCCTAAGAAAATGAACACAAGGAATAATGCAGATGCCATAATAATGTTAATCAAATGCAATTTTATACTGTAACTTTCTTCATAACCATTGCATGGCTAGAAGGTCGAAGAAGCAATATAGATGCAAAACCACAATGCTATGTCATGGTTGTTTAAGCACAGATTATAAACTATTGAAATGAAATATTGGATAAAAGTATTTTGATATCATAGCATTTCCACTGATTTAAGGAGTGTGTACTATGCAGAACCCTAGTACTCCCAGACTCTTTGTTCTTGCAGTTTGAGGGTTGAGAGTTACAACAAAAATATTGTGATGAGGAACAAACACTATCCAAACCTCAGATGCCAGGAGACAGCCAATGAAACACCACAGGTGAGTTGTTGAAACATCAGGCTGAAAGCCTCAGGGCCTGTGTTTAATTTTCTCAGGTGCCGCTGGCAGATCCTCATTCTTCAGGCATGCTTTTCCTACACATCTGTTCTGTTGTTTCCACCAGCACGTGGGATGTCCAGCACATCCAGGGCCCTATGGCTTTGTGTGACTCTGACTGATGGGCATCTCCCACACAAATTAGGTTGTTCTCCTGCAGTTTCATCAGATGTGAGGCTTATATGTTTTAAAGTGCAGAGGAGAAAAAGCTCATGCAGCAGCAAGTCGTTTTCCAATTGTAATCTCGAGGCCACAACAGATACGGAGCATGTTGTGAGCATGATGTTCCAACAGGCTCACACCCCTGGGAGAGGTGGAAGGTTATTCTGCCCTCTTAGTGCTAAAATTTTTCATCACTTCTACTGCCTCCAGCAGGGATCCAATGGATTAAGTATGAAGAGAAATATAAACCCACAGAGCTTACAACCTTGAGGGGTTATCTGAATTTGAAATCCTGGCAAATCTACTCTGTGCTATTATGTCACTAACATCACTGCTCAAAGAACACCTGCTTTAAAAAACTCTTTCTTCTGTGGGGATCTGTGGCTGTGCCCTGTGGAAAAGAACCTGGGAGTGCTGGTTGACAGCTGACTGAATAAAAGCTGACAACATGCCCAGGTGTCCAAGAAGGCCAAATGGCATCCTGGGCTTGTATCAGAAATAGTGTGGCCAACAGGACTAACAAAGCGATTGTTCCCCTGTACTTGGCACTGGTGAGGTTGCACCTTTAATACTGTGCTCAGTTCTGGGACCCTCACTGCAAGAAAGACATTGAGGTGCTGGAGCAGGTCCAGAGAAGGACAACAAAGCTGGGATTGTTTAACCTGGAGAAAAGGAGGTTCGGGGAGACCTTATAATTCTCTACCACTACCTGAAAGGAGCTTGTAGAGAGGTGGGTGTCAGACTCTTTTCCCAGGTAGAAAGCAGTAGGATAAGGAGAAACAGTCTCAAGTTGTGCTAGGGGAGGTTTAGATTGCATATTTGGGAAAATGTCTTCACTGAAAGGGTTGTCAAGCATTGGAACAAACTCCCCAGGAATGGGTGGAATCACCATCTCTGTAGGTATTTACAAGATGTGTAGATGTGGCCCTGAGGGACACGGATTAGTGGTGGACTTGACAGTGGTAGGTTAATGGTTGGACTCAATGATTTTAAAGGTCTTTTCTAACCTAAATGATTCTATGATCTCTATTGTGATGGTAATATTGACTTTATACACTTAAAAGCATAATCATTCTTCATATGCATGTTTCTCCTAAATAATTTCTAATTTCTAATTTCATATTTCATTCCATATTTTTGTAATTCTTCTAAATATTTTCTAAGTATTTATATGCATATTTCTTCTAAAGTCAGGAGCTTTCAGGTGTGTTCTTTTTATCAGAAATATTTGTGCCCCAAGCCCACTGTGATTGGTTTGACTTTTTTACTTGGGTAGTCAATTCCTTAGAAAAATTAGAAGTATAATGAAGGAAAATGTCACCATCTGTCTGAAATGTGTACAGGGTGAAATGCTTTAAAATAAGGATATTATTCCTAGAAGTAATTTATCATTTTGACCCCAAGGTTAAAACAAACAAACAAACAAACAAAAAAACCCAAACCAACAACTAAAATTGCTATGAAATCAGTGTTACACTAGTCACAAAATCTGTGTGCTCGGAGGCTTTGAACTTTGTTGGTTTTTCTCAATGTTTGCCAGGACCTGCTGATGTCAGCGCCAGCAGGAAAGCAGTACAGGTGGAGCAAGAAACAGATAAACCAGAAAAAGCAAGAGAGAACGTGGGGATCCTGAAACTCCTACCTCTTAGCACAGCACTGGCACTTCCCCTGGAACACTTCCCCATATGCAGCCTGCTGTGGGATGATTTGTGTGGACTGTTATGCCCAAGCAAGCTGCAAAACTGAGGTGGTACTTTTGCACTGAAATCATGACTGCAGTTAGGGAGACAAACAAGTTCTAATCAGAGAAGAAGAAAGACCACTTCATAATTCTTCTGTCTTTTTCATTGCAGTAGGTTTTGTGCTTTCCCTTTTTTCCCTCCCCATTTCTTTTAATTACAGCATAGCTGAACTAATAAACCTCTGTGTGGAAAAGCATTTGCTGCATTTTTATGTCCCGTCCCTAGCGGCACAACATGTTGCCAAAGTTATAAAACATTATGTGGGAACTTCTGGATCGTGTGAAGTCCTCTTTTTAGTTCTTCGGGTCACCCTTGATTTTTTCAACATGTGAGAGCTTCATATCTCTCACTCTAGAGGCCATTTCTAAGGCCCTAAAAATGTGTTTCAAGATGTGGCTCACTCGGAGAAACGGTAACCACGCTGGTGTGACACAAATAAGGAACAGCTGTATCACAGAAAGTCATACTCAAGCTTTGCCGCTGTGGTGGGTTGACCCTGGCTAGATGCCAGGTACCCACCAAAGTCACTCTGTCACTCCCCTCCTCAACTGGACAGGGGAGAGAAAATAGGCCTGTGCTTTGAGATAAGGACAGGGAGAGATCATTCACCAATTGCCGTCACAGGAAAAGCAGACCTGAGTTGGGGAAAATTAACTGAATTTATTACCAATGAAATCAGGCTGGGATCCTTTCTTCCCAAGCTTGTGATTTTCTCCACCTCCTCCACACCAGCAGCTCAGGGGGATGGGGAATGGGGATTGCAGTCAGTTCATCACATGTTGTCTCTGCAGGTCCTTCCTTCTCGGGGGGGGGGGGGGAGGACTCATCACACTCTTCCCCTGCTCCTGAGTAGGGTGTCCCTCCCACAGGACACAGTCCTCCATGAGCTTCTCCAGTGTGAATTCTGTCTCCACAGGATCACATAACTTACTCAAGAACACACAAGTAAAAAGCAAGACAGAGACTAGGACACACATACCCTGAACACTTCCAAACTCAATTGTTCTGGCAATGTATTGCTCTTCCACAGAGATCCTGTTGAGCTCCAATCACTTTCAGAGCCTGAAGATTAATCAGGGTTGTTATTATAGGTTATCACTGCTTGAACCTTTTCATTCTGACAAGTTTTTGGTCACTCATAATTCTTCAGTGCTTCACCCATTGTGTCCATTTCTTCACAGCCCTCTTTCTGACTTGTATGACAGTGATCAAGTTTTGTATCAGTGTGCATCTCTCATCCATCAGGAATTTTTCCATAGATGATATAATTTACAATTTGCATATCAAGTCTTCAGGTTATTCCTAGAATCAAGGAAGCTGAGATGGGTCCCAGCCAGCAGGTGGGAAAGGTTATTTGGCACACAAAGTTATTACAGCTACCTCAAATCTCCCCTCACGACACTCTATCAAATGGGCTGAATGGCACGTAGTGACCCCAAGGCATCACTGGAGGCCTGACAGTCTGGCCCACATGGCAGAGAATGAACAGTGTCAAGTAAGAGATGATCAGCCCCATAAGCATTTTGATGCAGTAGTCTCTAAATCTGCAGAAAGCAGATTGCCTCTGCTCAGATCTGAAACTAAGTCCAGACACAAGAGAGAACTATGCCTTTATGATCAGCTGCTTCCCTTGCACTCTCTTGGTTTGCTGCTTTGCTGCCAAGATGCTGAATTGCTTTAATCAGATGTATAACAGAGACTATGGCTATCCTCCCAGAGCACTCTGGGCTTGTCCTGCCCTAGAGCAATCACTTTACAATCGTAGCAGTCAGGCACTTTAGAAGCAGAACTGGGAGTACGTGTTTTTTTCTTGGCAATTTGAGGGGAATAAGAGAACAGGGATGCAGAAGAGAGCAGGACTGCACAGCCCATAAGGAAGCAGCAGAGGAAGAGAAGATGCACTCCTGTAGTTTTCTTGGGCAGAAATCTTGGATGCTGAGAAGACCAAAGGAGCATGAGCTCTGGATTCAAAGCCAGTTCAAGCTGTCTGCAACTTCAACAAATCTCTGCTAGCAAGCAGCGGAGTGGCAGGAGGTCCCAGAGTATATCTGAACTCAGAATGAATCAGTAGAGTTGTGCTGGCTTCTGTCCAGGCTGCATTACCTCACAATCTGCCTCCAAAATGGGCCCTGCGGAACTGGGACTGTGCACTACACTGAGGACAATTAGCATTTCTTCCACCTTTTCACCTTACTGCTGTGCCTGCATGTGGCCACTTAAGGTAGAGTTGAAGCAAACAGGTTTTCCTTCAGATTTCAGTTGGGAGGTGCAAAGAAAACTGACTCAGGCAGATCATTGCAAGCCTTCACTGCTCACATCATCATTCTCCTTGTCTGTTTGTTCCTCAGCTCCCCAAATCTCTCTCATCTACTTTTCTTATCACTCCTTTGAGAAGCTCCATCTCTTCTCTGCAACAAATTTAATATTACTTTGGACAGATGTGTGAATCCTGCAGATACACCTGCAGTTTACCTCCACTTTCACATTTGATCTAAAATCAGAGCTGCTCTAGAAGGTGATCCTTACCTGAACCGTGAGCAATGCTAATTGCAAAACAGAGCTCTCCATCCAGATGTGGTGGGAAGAATATAGGGTTTGCCATGGCCTTTTCAGTGTCATGCAGAGACTTTGTACAGCTTAAGATCCTGCCTTAAAATTTCATTTCAGCAAATGATAAAAATAACAAAATTAATTAGCAAGGGTGTCTTTGAAGTTGAGATTTCAAGATGTTGAGATTATTTCTGCATTATTTCATTTCCAAAAAAGGATTGACAGCAATTAAGTATAGATTGAAAATAAAAAATAAAATCAACAGCAGTTTAAAGGGAATTCTTTTGTCTCACACACGACTTTGTTATGAGCACAAAGGATTTGCTCTGTTAAAAATCAGATCTGATCCCTAGATTAATGTAGTAAAAATCATCCTTATATGCACAGCTCCAGAGGGGTGTAACCTTATAGAGACTCTGAGAAGGGAAGTTGTAAGGGATTAAGCTTCTTCATTGTTTGGCAGACTGAAATAGGTTTGGC